CGCCTGCACCGTCGCGGGGCGTGCTCTGTCCCCGGAGTGCCCGCATGCACGCAGGCACAGAGAGCCCGACGTCGAAGCCTTTGCTTCGCAAAACGCGCCAAGGGGTGCTGCTGGTTCGCTCTCGTGGTACGGGTATCGAGGGGCCTCTGCCAGGTCCACCCGCGGGCCCCACCCTCGCTCAGCAGCAGTACATGTAGCATCCGGCGGCACCCTGCTGCCAGGGGCTGCACGGCACCTGCGCCTTGCAGCTGCAAGACTGCATCCGGTTGCACGGGCCGGTGACGTGATCTCCGCTCTCGTCGAACCTGCCGCAGATGTTGGCGCAGACGTTGGAGGTGCCTATCGCGGCGTTCGCCGGGGGGGCGCACACGAGGCCGCTCATGCAGTTGCCATAGTAATCCGCCGCCGTGCCTGCATGACGTGGGCGTGTTAGACTGTACGGTGCTGCACCTTTAAAGTTTGTTGTGTTCTAGTTTGGGCACACACACACCCTCTACCACCAGACAGCTGCATGCACCACCCCCCGCTCCCGAGCACACGATCCCCTGTAAAATTGCCTGGCGAAGGACCCAACCCGACGCAGTTGTGAATACAGTCGTTGTTGGTATAGCCTTCGGTGGAGCTCCCTGTGGGGCCACGAAACGCGTGAGGGGTGTGCCGAAATGGAACGGGGCCGACACGCGAACCCTGCCACTCCGGGGCCTTCGGTGGAGCTCCCTATGGGGCCACGAAACGTGTGAGGGGTGTGCCAGCATGGGGGCGGCGCCGCCATGCGGACTGCGCCACTGGGACCTGAGGTGGAGCTCCATATGGGGCCACGAAACGTGTGAGGGGTGTGCCAACATGAGGCGGCGCCGCCATGCGGACTGCGCCACTGGGAACCTTTAGGCTGGAGCTCCTGTGGGGCACGAATCGTGTGAGTGGTTAGAATGTGCCAACATGGAGCGCGCCACCATGCGACTGAGCCACTGGGACCTTAGGTGGAGATCCCTATGGGGCTTACGAAAACGTGTGTAGGGGGTGTGCGCCCGCGGCTTACCTGGCGTTCGTCGAGAGGAGGAGTGGGATGCCGGGAGGAGGAGGAGGAGGAGGAACGCGGGGCGCTGTCTCTTCAAAACAAGGACCCCAACACCACAGAGATGGCTGGGTAAAACATGGATCCGCGCTCCCGAGGCCGCGATCCTTGTAAAACACGTTCCGCCGCGCTCCCGAAGCCACGATCCTTCGTAAAACAACTATGTGTCCGCCCGCGTCCGAGCTTCCAAATGGCCCAGGCAGGTAACCAAGGAAACCAAGATGGCCCAAGATGCCTCGAAGACGGGCCGAGATGGCCCCAAGGCGGCCCGACATTGCCTCAAGACGGCCGAAGAAGCGCCCAAGAGGCCCCAAAAGAGCCCCCGGAGGACCTTCAACAAGGCCTGGAGACGCCAAAATAGTTGGTTCCCCGTGGGTGGTTGTATGACTTTGGCATTTCCGCCTTTTCGGGCTCCCGCTAACTCAAGACAGCCCAGGAAGCCTCCACGATGGACCTAACACGGTCCAAGACGCCCCACGAGGGTCACTAGATGGCCCAAGAGGACACCAGGAGGGCCAAAGATGCATCCAAGAGGACATCAAGGTGGTCCAAGAGGGCCTCCCGTGGGACCCAAGAGGACCTGCAAGGCCCTTGAACTGCCCAAAACAGCGCCAAGACGGCCACCCGACGGCCCAAGAGAACCCCGAGGGACCCCCCCCCCAGACTGCCTCACAGGAGGCCGCGACAGCCTCAATAAGGCCCAAACGAGTTCCATGAGAACTCCTTGTGTGAAGAAATACCCAAACGAGTGCAGACGGCATTCCCCTTGCTGCTCCTTCTCCTCCTCCTCCTCCTCCTCCTGGTTCTCCTCCTTCTCCTCCTCGTCATCACCATCATCACCAGTACAATCACCACCACCACCTCCACCATAGTCATCATCATCCTCATCATCACCATCATCATCATCATCATCATCATCATCATCATCATCATCATCATCATCATCATCATCATCATCATCATCATTATCACCATCGTCAGCATCATCATCATCATCATGATCAGCATCGTCATCATCTCAGCATCATCACCACCACCGAGCCGTCGCCGTCATCATCATCATCAACCCGATAATCATTAGCAGCAGCAGCAACAGCAGCATCAAGATCATCACCATCATCCGCAGCCTCATAATCAGCAACAGGATCATGTTCGTCGTCGTCACCACCAGCACAACCACCACCATCATCGCGATCATTGTCATCAGCGTCATCAGCAGCATCATCAGCATCTGCAGCAGCATCATCATCAGCAGCATCATCATCAGCGTCGTCATCATCCTCATCAGCATCATCATCATCCCCCTCCTCCTCATCCTCCTCATCATAATCATTAGCGTCACCATCGTCATCGTCATCATCATCATCATCATCATCATCATCATCATCATCATCATCATCATCATCATCATCATCCTCATCATCATCAGCATCATATTTATCATGATCAGTATCGTCCATATAATTAATGGGCACCATCGTCATCATAGAACCATCCTCGTCGTCACCACCACCACCACCTTCATCACAACCGCCATCGTCACCATCGAACCAGTAAGAATTACAACAACAATAAAAACTGAATCAAATTCCTCAACAGCATCATAATCATACTAATCACGGCAATGACCTTTCCCACCATCATCATCATCATCATCATCATCATCATCATCATCATCATCATCATCGTAGTCACCGCCACCATCACCACAATCATCATCACAAGCAGCAGCAGTACCATCATCACTGAACCATCAGCATCATCAACACCACCACCAACATCATCATCCCCATCATCATCACTTACATCATCATCAGTATCATCATCAACATCATCATCATCATCATCGTCGTCGTCATCGTCATCGTCATCATCATCCTCATCATCGTCACCATCACCATCATCATCAGCAGCATCACCAACACCAACACCACTTCCACCTCCACCACCACCACCAAATTCATCATCATCATTACCATCACCATCACGAACATCATCATCATTATCATCATCATTATCAGCATCGTCATCGTCATCATCATCATCATCATCATCATCACCATCACCATCATCATCAGCAGCATCATCATCAGCTTAATCATCACCACCACCAACACCAACACCACCACCAACATCACTTCCACCAACACCACTACCACCACATTCATCATCATCATCATCACCATCATCATCATCATCATCATCATCACCATCATCATCATCATCATCCTCATCAACATCAAAATCACCACCATCATTACCAGAATCACATTAATCATCAGCATCATCATCACATCACCACCATCACTACCATAATCACATTCATCATCAGCATCAGCATCATCATCATCACCATCATCATTATCCTCATCATCATCAGCATCATCATCACCATCAACATCACCATCACGGCTCTCCCAAGCCTGGAGACACCAAGTGTCAGACTCAAACGGCCTCCCGCTTCCCCCTCGAACGGTCGCCACCCAGAATGGTGGGTTGGCACGGTGGCGGGACTCGCCGCAGGCAGCTCGATAGCCAGTGCTCCCAGATGTGCCGCACTTCTCCCCGACCTGGTTGCCTGAAGGCCTCGGCGTGGGCGCTGGCGTGGGCGCTGGCGTGGGCGCGGGCGTGGGCCTGGGCTGACCAGGGCACGGGCCGCAAGTCGCGTCGCCGCAGAACTTGCACTGCTCAAGGCCCGGCCCGTTGCCCGCCGCCTTGCAGCACACGCCGGCTCCGCTGGTGCTGCAGCCGCTGGTGTCCTTGTAGCAGCTCATAGCCGCGCCGCAGTATGCACCCGCGAAGCTCTCGTAGCACGTGAGCGTGGTCGTCTCGGTGGTGTTCGCGTGGCTGTGCTGGGTCACCCTGGCCTTCTCTGCGGCCGAGCGCTGCAGCAGCGCGGACACCTCGGCATCGTCGGCCTGGCACGATCCGTCGGCACAACCCTCGTCGGCCAGCGCACGCGCGGGCAACAGCAGCAGGAGAGCCACAGCGAAGCGCGCCATGGGTCCGCGCCTTCGTATCTGAAGCCGGTCTGCAGCCGCCTTGGGCCAAAATCGCTGCGGAGGCGAGGAGTGAGCGGCTGGGGATCGGGGGCCGAGGCTCCCCCGCCTGAGCCTATCCCCGCCTACAGTCCATCGACCACCAAAAAGAACGCTGCACGAGGAACGAGGCCCTTCTCTTGGCCCCTAAGAGCGAGTGGGGGTGCACGAGAAGCGCTACAGGAACAAGCATGCAAGGACCTTCCGAGCCTGGACCGCTCCCTATGTCAGCGTCTTGGCTGGAGCGTTGCCCCTCGTGGCCCTAGCGAGGGGGACCGGGCCCCAGGACCTTCAGCAAAAAAAACTCTGGAGGAAGGGCCGGCCTCCGGGGAAGGCGTCGAGAGTTCTCTTGGATGCTCTGCTGCCTGCTTGGGCCCCCCGGGGAGTGGGGAGTGGTGAGGGGGGGCGCCTCGAAGCGGCTGGGCTCGCCGCGAGATCCCGCTGGCAGTTCGCACGGAGGAGGAAGGCGAAGGGAACACTGAGGAAGGCGAGGGGAAGACGGATGGAGGAGGCTCGGGCCGGGGAAGAACGGTAGAGGGGGGTTCTCAGCAGCGCGCCCCAGAGGGGGCAGAGGGGGCCTTCTCGGGAGGCTCCGAAGGCCTCCAGCCCTCTGAGAAGCTTTCCGAGCCTTCTCCGAAGCCACGGAGGGCTTCTCGGCAGGCGGGAGGACTTCGCAGAAACTCCGCCGCCTTCTGAGAAGGCCTCCCCCCTCTCCCCTCCCCCCTACGGCGCGCCGCCGACGAAAGGTTCAGGGTGGGAAGCGGCAGCGTGGCAGCGGCGATGCGTCGCCGATGGATCGGCGATGTGGGCCCCCGAGAGCGGGACCGCAGGGTCCCGGGCGGGGAGGGGAGCCCGGGCCCAGGTCGGCGAGGAGTGAGCAGCCCTTTCTCTCTGCCATCGCAGAGCGCCTCATCCGTCGGGCCGAGGCATTCGACAGTGGGCAGAGGTGGCCACGGAGGAGCCGCCGCCACCCCGCCTGCACCGCCGCGGGGCGTGCTCTGTCCCCGGAGTGCCCGCACGCACGCAGGCCCAGAGAGCCCGACGTCGAAGCCTTTGCTTCGCAAAACGCGCCACAAGGTGCTGCTGGTTCGCTCTCGTGGTACGGGTATCGAGGGGCCTCTGCCAAGTCCACCCGCGGGCCCCCCCCTCGCTCAGCAGCAGTACATGTAGCATCCGGCGGCCCCCTGCTGCCAGGGGCTGCACGGCACCTGCGCCTTGCAGCTGCAAGACTGCATCCGGTTGCACGGGCCGGTGACGTGATCTCCGCTCCCGTCGAACCTGCCGCAGATGTTGGCGCAGACGTTGGAGGTGCCTATCGCGGCGTTCGCCGGGGGGGCGCACACGAGGCCGCTCATGCAGTTGCCATAGTAATCCGCCGCCGTGCCTGCATGACGTGGGCGTGTTAGACTGTACGGTGCTGCACCGTTAAAGTTTTTTGTGCTCTAGTTTGGGCACACACACACACACTCTACCACCAGACAGCTGCATGCACCCCGCCCCCCGCTCCCGAGCTCACGATCCCCTGTAAATTAGCCTGGCGAAGGACCCAACCCGACGCAGTTGTGAATGCAGTCGTTGTTGGTATAGCCTTCGATGGAGCTCCCTATGGGGCCACGAAACGTGTGAGGGTTATGCCGAAATGGAACGGGGCCGACACGCGAACCCTGCCACTCTGGGGTCTTCGGTGGAGCTCCCTATGGGGCCACGCAACGTGTGAGGGGTGTGCCACAGTGGCGCGGCGCCGCCATGCGGACTGCGCCAATGGGACCTGAAGTGGAGCTCCCTATGGTGCCACGAAACGCGTGAGGGGTGTGCCAACATGGGGGCGGCGCCGCCATGCGGACTGCGCCACTGGGACCTGAGGTGGAGCTCCCTATGGGGCCACGGAACGTGCGAGGGGTGTGCCAATATGGGGCGGCGCCGCCATGCGGACTGCGCCATTGGGACCTGAGGTGGAGCTCCCTATGGGGCCACGAAACGTGTGAGGGGTGTGCCAACATAGGGGCGGCGCCGCCATGCGGACTGCGCCACTGGGACCTGAGGTGGAGCTCCCTATGGGGCCACGCAACGTGTGAGGGGTGTGCCAACATGGGGGCGGCGCCGCCATGCGGACTGCGCCACTGGGACCTGAGGTGGAGCTCCCTATGGTGCCACGGAACGTGTGAGGGGTGTGCCAACATGAGGCGGCGCCACCATGCTGACTGCGCCACTGGGACCTTAGGTGGAGCTCCCTATGGGGCCACGAAACGTGTGAAGGGGTGTGCCAAAATAGGGCGGCGTCGTGAGAGGAGGAAGGGGCAGCGGGAGGAGGAGGAGGAGGAGGAGGAGAAGGAACGGGGGGCGCTGTCTCTTCAAAACAAGGACCCAACACCACAAGATGGCTGGGTAAAACATGGATCCGCGCTCCCGAGGCCGCGATCCATTGTAAAACACGTTCAGACGCGCTCCCGAAGCCACGATCCTTCGTAAAACAACTATGTGTCCGCCCGCGTCCAAGCTTCCAAACGGCCCAGGCAGGTAACCAAGGAAACCAAGATGGCCCAAGATGCCTCGAAGACGGGCCATGATGGCCCCAAGGCGGCCCGATACTGCCTCAAGACGGCCGAAGAAGCTTCCAAGAGGGCCCAGACAGAGCTACACGAAGACCTTCAACAGGGCCTGAAGAAGTCAGAATCATTGATTCCCAGTGGGTTGCTGCCTGACTTCGGCATGTTCGCCTTTTCGGGTTTCCGTTGACCCAAGACGGCCCAGGAAGCCTCCACGATGGACCTAACACGGTCCAAGACGCCCCACGACGGTCACAAGATGGCCCCAGAGAACACCACGAGGGCCAAAGATGCATCCAAGAGGACACCAAGGTGGTCCAAGAGGGCCTCCCGTGGGGCCCAAGAGGACCTTGAACGCCCTTCAACTGCCCAAAACGGCGCCAAGACGGCCCCACGACGGCCCAAGAGAACCCCGAGGGACCCCCCCCCCCCCAGACTGCCTCACAGGAGGCCGCGACAGCCTCAATACGGCCCAAACGAGTTCCATGAGAACTCCTTGTGTGACCCAAGAGGACCTTGCAAGGCCCTTCAACTGCCCAAAACGGCGTCAAGGCAGCCCCACGACGGTCCAAGAGAGCCCCAAGGGACCCCCCCCAGACTGCCTCACAGGAGGCCGCGACAGCCTCCATAAGGCCCGAACGAGTTCCATGAGAACTCCTTGTGCGAAGAAATACCCAAACGAGTGCAGACGAAAGGGGTCACGAGTGACGGCATTCCTCCTCCTGGTTCTCCTCCTCCTGGTTGCTCCTCCTTCTCCTCCTCCTGATCCTGGTTCTCCTCCTTCTCCTCCTCGTCATCACCATCATCACCAGTACAATCACCACCACCACCTCCACCATAGTCATCATCACCCGCATCATCCTCATCATTATTATTATCATCATCATCATCATCATCATCATCATCATCATCATCATCAGCATCATCATCAGCATCAGCATCAGCATCAGCATCAGCATCATCATCATCATCATCATCATCATCATCATCATCATCATCAGCATCATCATCATCATCATCATCATCATCCTCATCCTCATCCTCATCCTCATCATCATCATTATCATCATCGGCATCAGCAACATCATCATCATCATCATCATCATCATCATCAGTATCACCATCGTCAGCATCATCATCATGATCAGCATCGTCATCAGCATCAGCATCATCACCACCACCGAGCCGTCGCCGTCATCATCATCACCACCATCATCAACAACCCGATAATCATTAGCAGCAGCAACAGCAGCATCATGATCATCACCATCATCAGCAGCCTCATAATCAGCAACACGATCATGTTCGTCGTCGTCACAACCACCACAACCACCATCATCATCGCCATCATTATCATCAGCATCATCAGCAGCATCATCATCATCATCATCATCATCATCATCATCATCATCATCATCATCTGCAGCAGCATCATCATCAGCAGCAGCATCATCAGCGTCGTCATCATCCTCATCAGCATCATCATCATCCCCCTCCTCCTCATCCTCCTCTTCATCATAATCATTAGCTTCACCATCGTCATCGTCATCATCATCATCGTCATCCTCATCATCATCAGCATCATCTTTATCATGATCAGTATCGTCCATAGAATTAATGGGCACCATCGTCATCATAGAACCATCCTCGTCGTCACCACCACCACCACCTTCATCACAACCGCCATCGTCACCATCGAACCAGTACGAATTACAACAACAATACAAACTGCATCAAATTCCTCAACAGCATCATAATCATACTAGTCACGACAATGACCTTTACCACCACCATCATCATCATCATCATCATCATCATCATCATCATCATCATCATCATGATCATCATCAGCATCATCATCATCATCATCATCATAATCATGGGCACCATCATCACAATCATCATCACAATCATCATCACAAGCAGCAGCAGTACCATCATCACTGAACCATCAGCATCATCAACACCACCACCAACATCATCATCACCATCACCATCATCAACATCATCATCAGTATCATCATCAACATCATCATCGTCATCGTCATCATCATCAGCATCATCATCATCATCATCATCATCATCATCATCCTCATCCTCATCATCATCACCACCACCATCATCAGCAGCATCATCATCGTCGTCATCACAACCACCAACACCAACACCAACACCAACACCAACACCACTTCCACCTCCACCACCACCACCACATTCATCATCATCATCACCATCACCATCACGAACATCATCATCAGTATCATCATCAACATCAGCATCGTCATCGTCATCGTCATCAACATCATCCTCATCATCATCACCATCACCATCATCATCAGCAGCATCATCATTGTCATCATCATCACCACCACCAACACCAACACCACCACCAACATCACTTCCACCTCCACCACCACCACCACATTTATCATCATCATCATCATCATCATCATCATCATCATCATTATCGAAATCACCACCATCACTACCAGAATCACATTCATCGTCAGCATCGTCATCACATCACCACCATCACTACCATAATCACACTCATCATCAGCATCCGCATCATCATCATCACCATCATCATCATCATCAGCAGCATCATCATCACCATCACCATCACGGCTCTCCCAAGCCTGGAGACACCAAGTGTCAGACTCAAACGGCCTCCCGCTTCCCCCTCGAACAGTCGCCACCCAGAATGGTGGGTTGGCACGGTGGCGGGACTCGCCACAGGCAGCTCGATAGCCAGTGCTCCCAGATGTGCCGCACTTCTCCCCGACCTGGTTGCCTGAAGGCCTCGGCGTGGGCGCTGGCGTGGGCGCGGGCGTGGGCCTGGGCTGACCAGGGCACGGGCCGCAAGTCGCGTCGCCGCAGAACTTGCACTGCTCAAGGCCCGGCCCGTTGCCCGCCGCCTTGCAGCACACGCCGGCTCCGCTGGTGCTGCAGCCGCTGGTGTCCTTGTAGCAGCTCATAGCCGCGCCGCAGTATGCACCTGCGAAGCTCTCGTAGCACGTGAGCGTGGTCGTCTCGGTGGTGTTCGCGTGGCTGTGCTGGGTCACCCTGGCCTTCTCTGCGGCCGAGCGCTGCAGCAGCGCGGACACCTCGGCATCGTCGGCCTGGCACGATCCGTCGGCACAACCCTCGTCGGCCAGCGCACGCGCGGGCAACAGCAGCAGGAGAGCCACAGCGAAGCGCGCCATGGGTCCGCGCCTTCGTATCTGAAGCCGGTCTGCAGCCGCCTTGGGCCAAAATCGCTGCGGAGGCGAGGAGTGAGCGGCTGGGGGTCGGGGGCCGAGGCTCCCCCGCCTGAGCCTATCCCCGCCTACAGTCCATCGACCACCAAAAAGAGCGCTGCACGAGGAACGAGGCCCTTCTATTGGCCCCTAAGAGCGAGTGGGGGTGCACGAGAAGCGCTACAGGAACAAGCATGCAAGGACCTTCCGAGCCTGGACCGCTCCCTATGTCAGCGTCTTGGCTGGAGCGTTGCCCCTCGTGGCCCTAGCGAGGGGGACCGGGCCCCAGGACCTTCAGCAAAAAAAACTCTGGAGGAAGGGCCGGCCTCCGGGGAAGGCGTCGAGAGTTCTCTTGGATGCTCTGCTGCCTGCTTGGGCCCCCCGGGGAGTGGGGAGTGGTGAGGGGGGGCGCCTCGAAGCGGCTGGGCTCGCCGCGAGATCCCGCTGGCAGTTCGCACGGAGGAGGAAGGCGAAGGGAACACTGAGGAAGGCGAGGGGAAGACGGATGGAGGAGGCTCGGGCCGGGGAAGAACGGTAGAGGGGGGTTCTCAGCAGCGCGCCCCAGAGGGGGCAGAGGGGACGAGCCTTCTCAGGAGGCTCCGAAGGCCTCCAGCCCCCTGAGAAGCTTTCCGAGCCTTCTCCGAAGCCACGGAGGGCTTCTCGGAGGGCGGGAGGACTTCGCAGAAACTCCGCCGCCTTCTGAGAAGGCCTCCCCCCTCTCCCTTCCCCCCTACGGCGCGCCGCCGAAGCAAGGTTCAGGGTGGGAAGCGGCAGCGTGGCAGCGGCGATGCGCCGCCGATGGATCGGCGATGTGGGCCCCCGAGAGCGGGACCGCAGGATCCCGGGCGGGGAGGGGAGCCCGGGCCCAGGTCGGCGAGGAGTGAGCAGCCCTTTCTCTCTGCCATCGCAGAGCGCCTCATCCATCGAGCCGAGGCATTCGACAGTGGGCAGAGGTGGCCACGGAGGAGCCGCCGCCACCCCGCCTGCACCGTCGCGGGGCGTGCTCTGTCCCCGGAGTGCCCGCACGCACGCAGGCCCAGAGAGCCCGACGTCGAAGCCTTTGCTTCGCAAAACGCGCCACAGGGTGCTGTTGGCTCGCTCTCGTGGTACGCGGGTATCGAGGGGCCTCTGCCAGGTCCACCCGCGGGCCCCCCCCTCGCTCAGCAGCAGTACATGTAGCATCCGGCGGCCCCCTGCTGCCAGGGGCTGCACGGCACCTGCGCCTTGCAGCTGCAAGACTGCATCCGGTTGCACGGGCCGGTGACGTGATCTCCGCTCCCGTCGAACCTGCCGCAGATGTTGGCGCAGACGTTGGAGGTGCCTATCGCGGCGTTCGCCGGGGGGGCGCACACGAGGCCGCTCATGCAGTTGCCATAGTAATCCGCCGCCGTGCCTGCATGACGTGGGCGTGTTAGACTGTACGGTGCTGCACCGTTAAAGTTTTTTGTGCTCTAGTTTGGGCACACACACACACACCCTCTACCACCAGACAGCTGCATGCACCCCGCCCCCCGCTCCCGAGCTCACGATCCCCTGTAAATTAGCCTGGCGAAGGACCCAACCCGACGCAGTTGTGAATACAGTCGTTGTTGGTATAGCCTTCGGTGGAGCTCCCTATGGGGCCACGAAACGTGTGAGGGGTATGCCGAAATGGAACGGGGCCGACACGCGAACCCTGCCATTCTGGGGTCTGAGGTGGAGCTCCCTATGGGGCCACGCAACGTGTGAGGGGTGTGCCACAGTGGCGCGGCGCCGCCATGCGGACTGCGCCAATGGGACCTGAGGTGGAGCTCCCTATGGGGCCACGAAACGTGTGAGGGGTGTGCCAACATGGGGGCGGCGCCGCCATGCGGACTGCGCCACTGGGACCTGAGGTGGAGCTCCCTATGGGGCCACGAAACGTGTGAGGGGTGTGCCAACATGGGGGCGGCGCCGCCATGCGGACTGCGCCACTGGGACCTGAGGTGGAGCTCCCTATGGGGCCACGAAGCGTGTGAGGGGTGTGCCAACATGAGGCGGCGCCACCATGCGGACTGCGCCACTGGGACCTTAGGTGGAGCTCCCTATGGGGCCACAAAACGTATGAAGGGGTGTGCCAAAATAGGGCGGCGTCGTGAGAGGAGGAGGGGGCAGCGGGAGGAGGAGGAGGAGGAGGAGGAGGAGGAAGAGGAGGAGGAGGAGGAGGAACGCGGGGCGCTGTCTCTTCAAAACAAAGACCCAACACCACAAGATGGTTGGGTAAAACATGGATCCGCGCTCCCGAGGCCGCGATCCATTGTAAAACACGGTCAGCCGCGCTCCCGAAGCCACGATCCTTCGTAAAACAACTATGTGTCCGCCCGCGTCCAAGCTTCCAAACGGTCCAGGCAGGTAACCAAGGAAACCAAGATGGCCCAAGATGCCTCGAAGACGGGCCAAGATGGCCCCAAGGCGGCCCGATACTGCCTCAAGACGGCCGAAGAAGCTTCCAAGAGGGCCCAGACAGAGCTACACGAAGACCTTCAACAGGGCCTGAAGAAGTCAGAATCATTGATTCCCCGTGGGTTGCTGCCTGACTTCGGCATGTTCGCCTTTTCGGGTTTTCGTTGACCCAAGACGGCCC